GATGCACGAAATGGTAGGGACATGTAATCCCAATGGACTTACATTCAGGCAGTCTCGAAAGAACACGTACGACGTCTGATTGCATGGCCCTGTGTTCATGGCTTGCAGAATCTGGTCCAGTCACTCCAGTGAAGCACGGCAAGAAAAACACAGTCCTGTCCATTCAACGCCAACCCAAACGACATGGATGTCAGTTCACGGATCCCATCCTTCCTTCTTGCTATAATTGATAAATGCAAGGGAGAATACGAGAATTACAAGAATAAAACGCAGTGGAAGGACAGAAATCAGAAGCGGCGGAAGAAGGGGGATTCTTATTAAAATGTGATAAGGGATTTATGAAAATGCATTGCGCTTTTATAGCGGTCATGCAGTGCTCTCTGCACTCTTCGATCATTAGGCGTTTGCTTGCAGGTGGCTTGCTTTTTCGATGTTTGTTCGTCTGAGAAGACAGTGTGGTCCAGCATAGGCTCCTTTCCTCACCTGAGATGGAAAAACGCAAAGTGCTCTACACCGTGAATCGAAATCACGTCTGCTATCGGCCGGAACCAACTCACCTTCGCTTGTGCTGGAAGTCGGATTCGACGCACTCAAATTTTTCAATCCCGGGGTTGTCTAGAGGTATCTCTGTATCATTATTCTACTGTCCGTGCAAGTGGCGTTGCTCCATACTCCAGAAAGCTTCAGCATCCGAGATTTTGAGCTCGTTTGTAGATGGATTCCAATCTGTACGAGGTGTAGCAGTCAGCCGATGCGCTGGTATAAAACATCTCCAAATCACAACACTTTTGCCCATCATGGTCAATGTTGATCACAGTGTCTTTCCGTATTGTATTCAGAACTGTGGTGGTTCAGTTCTTCCCACCATGCCTTCTCTTGTGAAGCATTCCCGGTGCCCCCATCTTCTTGTCAGTCCGCTGGCGTGACGGCAGGTGTGAAGTGTACCTTGAAGCTATGCGGAGAGTCAAATACATTTTCAAGTGGAAAGGGATGATGAAACGAACTTTTGCATCTCCTGCAAAAGTAGCGTTACGGTCTGTCGGGTAACATTTGAGAGTTTGGAACTAGGACTGCCTCCATCACTCGAGTTCTGGAATGCGGACAGGTGTTTCGTTCCTAACGGCATCCCATTCAAATCTTTTGTGGTATACATGTCTAATAATTGGAAGGAGGACGGATGACTTCAGATGTTGAAACTTAATAAGAACAATCACAAAAATCTTGGAAAGTAAATTTACTGTAATCAATGATGGTATCCCGATCAAATTGTGCATGGACTAAATTTCGGCTGAACCTATGAAGGATTTGGATTTCAAGATTTGAGTATATTATCACAATGATTGACCAGATCCTGCTATCTGATAATTGAGGGTCAGACTGGGAGTATAAGAGGTCGAAAAGTGCATGCCTGGTATAGAATACTGTCTGAAACATTGTTTACTGCTCTGTGTACTGTTTAATGGTGCATTGGGAACTATTCTGTTGTTCGTTGACATGGCTCTCATGGAAATCCACACGATGAAAGAACTGTGACATGATGTGTAGAAATCGGCCACTGTTCGTACACTATTGTTGGTTTGTCCGTCGACTGGCACGGAAGTGTTTGAATGTATGGCACGTATTGGGGGGTATTCGGGGCCGTCAGAGTTGCACAGATCTTCCCCTTTGAAGTGTACATTCAGGAGGATCTGTAATCATCTGAGTTTTTCCAAGAGCAGAATTCATGGCAGATCACGATCGTGCAACGAGAATGCGCAGACTCGGCCATGCCCTGTTCGTTCCTTTGTCAGTGGGTCAGTCTCACGTGATGGTGGGCTTGAAACTTGCCAAGTTTCTCATGCAGACATTGATACATTCAGTCGAAGCTATCAATTGTCAATCTGAACAACTTCCATTAGTGCCTGTCGAGAATCCTTCGAAGATAGAGCAATTCCCTGTCGGGAGACCGTATGAACCCCAGGTTGTTTTCCGGCCGTGCGCAAAGAGCAATGACACTTATGTTGAAGATTATTTGCTATGGACCTAAACAGTTATCCTCTAATCGGTTCTAATTTGGATCCCCCGTGCCACAAAGCTTTGATCTCCATCCCTTAGGCATCTGAGAGAAGCATGGAGACCGGACTTTACACAGTCACGCCACCAACCATTGCTCCTAATTCCACTTCTGGAGTATGTTCATCGAATTCGCAGGTGCCTGGGGTACTTAACCGTCGGCCCTGTTTTCTGTCTAGGCTCCGATGTGGAGAACCAGGAGGCATTAACTGGGACCACCAATGACGCTGAAAAGTCCGGCCTGGCTGGTCTCAAGTGGCTTGACACACAGCCCGTGTCATCCGTTCTGTACATCTGCATCTGTAGCTGGGTTCCTATGTATGCAAGGCAGGCTCAGAAGCTCGCTCAAGCACTGGAGGCAAGTAGTCAGAGATTCCTGTGGGTTCTCCCTCGATGACGTGGAAACTTTTGCGACATCAAAGGAATGCTCCCACCAGGTCTCCAAGACGGAGTTGGAGACAGAGGAGCCATGGTCACCGGATGGATCAACTGAAGGTGCATCATCGTCCGTCTCTCTGTGGATTTGTATCTCATTGCAGCTGGCTGTCTTTCCTAAAGACTATCACCTCTGGCGTGCCAGTGTTGACTTGGCCACAGGCAGCTGAGCAGCATCTGAACGCGAGGTTTGTGAACAGTATCTTGACTGAGTTCAAAATCAGTTGTTTATCGCATCGTCAGACGAACTTTCCATGAGCTTTGGAAAGCTCGGACATCATGCTTTTGACTCATTTTTATGAATATTCTTCCGTGTGCCTGATCCGAACGTCTTGTTAGAATTGGAGCAACTGACAGTCGTAATCGCATCTGTCACAGGTGCTTGGTGGACGTGCTCCATATGGCTGTTATAATCTCGGAGAAGAGAGGAGATGCAACTCAGCAACACATTGCGCCACAAATCTTGGGCAGACCGTTGCAGGAGAAAGACTCTCTGATTGCACGCGAGGAGTTTGTGGAAGCAATAGACCGCTTCAATCGAGATCACACCTTGAAAATGAATGCCCAACACCTGAAGACGAAAGCAGAGGCAGCGGTGGATCGTACCAAGCTGTGCAAGCTGTGCAAAGGCTGGCGGAGCGGCTCCCGAAAGCAGAGGCTTGATGGTGACATGCAGATTGCTAGTCTGCTCTACTCTACAGAATATACTTCAGATCTTGTACATCTCCAAGTCTTCTGCGGATCTTCACATAGATCCTGACGTAAACATGAGGCAGTAGGTTAATGAAGTTGCCCTCCTCCCCTACCTTCGTATAAAACGTCATAACAACATAAGTGAAGCAAATCATGTCCAAAGGAAACCCGGCCTGGAATGTCTGCCTGCCGGATTGTATACAGTTCCTGGGGTCAATGCCTCCGAGGGTGACAAGAAGATTTTGGCGAGGCTTTAGCTGAATGCTGCAAAATTCGCAACTTGATATACGAATTTTCATGCGCATGTGGAAGACAAACTGTCATCGAACTGTCATCACCAATGCGTCCTGTACTTCTATGTTTGTGATAGCCTCCTTCTAATTTTCTTTTTCAAGGTCCTATTCTCAAGTCATCTGATCTAGTAACCCGTCCTCCACTCTTCCAATCTAGAACTTTTCCGAAAGGAAATTGTAGTGGTAAGTGTCCACATAGTTCTCTGTATTTCGTCCTTAGAGAGTCGTCTCGACAGTACGCTATGGAGAATGGTCTGGAGCTATATCTGCATTGGTCTGCAAGGTTGGAGGCCAATGGTCGTGGACCCAACTCTCCCACCGCTCTCATCGTCTGTACTACTTTCCCCGACACTTCAGCAGAGGCCGTCTCCTCCCAGGCAACCTCCACCTTCTGTTTCTCACTTGATTTGATCTTTCCAATTTGAAGTTTAGATGCTTCTGTGAAGCCTGACAGATTGACATGCTTAAATTTGCACTTGTAGCAAAGACTTACTTGCATATATACTAGTAATTTTGTATTTGAGAAGAGAATTTGGTCGCATGGTGATGAAGGGTTGTTAAAGCCAAGATGACAATTGCAGCAGTTCATTCCGTACGAAGAAAATACAGGTTGGAGAGGAAAACAAGACAGTGGAAACTGTGGGTGTTCATACAGTGTCTTCTCAAGAGCAAAATTAGATCGACGTCTAATCGGAATCACTCAATTCATACATCTTCTCATCGATTCTTTGACTGCTTCAATTTTATTCTATAAATAAACTATCGTCTTAACCAATCACGTACAAATAAATCGGATCAAAATGTTTCACTTCCGCTGTCTAAGGAACATCATATCTCTTTAATGTCTGTACATTGAGCTAACCTTGAGTTGGATTGTACAGACCAGTTCACACCATCCTGGTAAACAAACATTTGAACAGCCACAAGTACTACGTCGTATACGTTGTCCTAGCAAATACGATGACGACTTTCCAGAGAGATGATAATTTCAGACCTTTCGACGTCCAAATGGAACTTATTTTACTCGCAAGTGATCCCGACTTTCTCTTACCAAGTGAATACATCACACAGCTGATCGATCTGTAGTTGAGAAAAAGACATTCTGTGTCGAGAATACCATCCAACTTGCCCGACCGATGAAGGAACAAAACTCCGAAGACCGGAAGGTTGGAGGCACAACCGACCAACGTATTCTCAGCCGATCGAATAAAAATATAACAGTTTAACTAATAGAAAACTGCAAATAAAATCAAATTGTCAATGAAATTGAAATTTTAAGATGAATGGAAAGATTGCGTAAGGGAAATTTTAGCTGTCATGTACATGAAACTCAAAAAGCTACCAAAAAGTCACTAATACCTAAATGAGAGTCAATCAAATATATCATACACAGGTCAGAGTTGTTTGATAAAAAAAAAATTGGCATGATTTTGAACTTTTGATTCCGCATCCTCTTTTCTATTTCCAAGTTGGATTCTTGGATTCTCTCCAACTTCAATTGGAAAGAATTCTTGGACATTAAGTTTCTCTTCTCATTAAGTTAAAGTCATCTTCTGACGTATTTTTATCTCCTTTTTCAACACTCATATTTATTATAAGCATTTTTTTGTTCTTTTGTTTGGCTATTGTGATGCAAGGTTGCATCAAGTCCTTTTTAAAAAACAACATTTTTGAGTTAAACGTAGTTGAACCTTCTAACAACAACTATCATTCATCATCAGGCACGATAGAGGTTGAAGAGCAACTTAAGACTGTGGAATCTCAGTTTTAGCCACCCGACTTCCAAGATCTTCTTCCAAGATCTTCGGATGCGGCGTATGTCCCCCTTGCTCTGGTCGGGCTTCCATTGCCTTCCTGAACATTAACTGTCACAAAATCTCTCGACTTCGAGGTAAAATTCGCGTGCAAGGAATTTAAAGTTTAAATTTGAATAAGAGATGAGCACTTTTTCATGTTGAACGCCGTTCTATCCAACGCTGTCACTCCCAATTCACAACAGCTGCCCGCGCCAAATTGCCCTGGCAATCCTGTCTCTTGCTAGACCCACTCAGAGCAGGGTAAGTTCGGCAAGAGGAAGTTGATTGCCGCTGACAGAATTCGTCGCCGTATAAGCGTAGATTGGGAAATCAGGCCGCAAGACCATAAATGCGAGAAGCTTACACCCTCTACGCCAGCTTGTCGGCATCGGACTCCTAGAACGGGTGTGCTGGAGACTCGTAGTATAATGTACGCCAAACCAATCTTCCATCCTCCCCGCCTCACGAAAAATTTGGAAGCAGTCCAGTTTTTAATATGTTATCCATAACGTTGTGGTTTGTGCCATGAAAGAGTATATAAAGACCCATTGTTTCAAGCAAACTTACAGCGCTGTCCGTAGGGTCGCTCGCTAGCTGTCGAGCTGCATCTGCAATCACAGCGTCCCAATTAATACTTTGGCCTTTTCATGTGCATCGCACATCGAACTGCCATAAATCGCCACATGACTACGCAGACCTACGCTGACGAATACAACGATGCAGTAGCAGACAAGGAGCTTTGTGGAACATGACGGAGTTTCTCGTAGCCATCTCTTCCTCACCGTAAATCTCCTTTGCTGAGCGGTCGTTCTTGAGAGAAGAAACAAAACTGTCAAAAGGCCCATGGCCTCGGCCTAAGTATGGATTTGGGCGTATGCTGCGCGACGGCACCCGCTTCAGGTCCAAAACTTTGCTTAGGGACTTCTGCTCGGTGATCCGGAGTATGGCTATCTCCAGAATCTGTTCGGAAACGGGACGAGGGGTCACGTCCAGTTGGAAGCAGCTGCTATAGAGATGAGCTTTTCACGTTCGATACACACAGAAAATAAAGTAATCTCAAAAGAAAGGCTTCTATGAAATATTGGAGCAATCGCGACGCGCACGATTGCTTCAAGCGTTGAACAATGTACATCACCTTCCTACGAATAGAAAGTATCCCGCTGAGAGCTACCCCAGCTTTGAGGCTTTCCGGACTCCCCGAAATTTCAATCACTATGTCTTCTTCTTCGTTCGACCACCACTTTTGTTGCTTCATAGTCTGGAGGTCGACCACTCGACGACGAAGTAACTTAGTGAAGCTCACGGACGCCACACCTCGCGGACTCGGGAATACCATTCAACCTGCCCGACCGATCAAGGAACAGAACTCCGAAGACAGGAAGCTTCAAGGTACAACCGACAAACGTAGTGTAAGCCAATCGATTACAAATATTTTCGGCTAAAGAACGTGACCGTCGCACCCTCAAACCTATATTATCAATTAGAGATACATCAGAATGGAGGATGTAAATATGATCCGCGTCTACGCCTGCTCTTCAGCCCGTCACTTGCTAATCACAATACATCACGTTACATCATCGATCTATGCTCGGTTTGCTCTCGTCTGTTGAACGATGCCTTCCAAACCCTCACTTGCAACTGCATGATCTGAAGAGCCGCCGCCTTTCAATCTGCTTTCCTCGTCAGTCAGTCGTGAGAAGACGGATCGGTGGTTCACGTCACAGTACAAACTCGTTTGCTCAATGCGAATCAGCCGCAGAAAATTGTACTCAGTTTCCCTTCCTCATTCCTTTGGCGGACAACAATAACATAGTCTCGGTGACTGAGAACAACCATAGTCCTCGCCATTGACAAGCGCCAAATCACCTTGACATTAACTCCTGATTCTTTCCTTCCTCTGCGGAGGAAAGGTGCCGACATATGGAAGGAATTTTCCTGAACGGAGACACGCCACTCAGCTGGATGGATGTGCTTCTCCATCCAGGATTCTAGGCACGATAGAGGTTGAAGAGCAACTTTAGACCGTGGAATCTCACTTTTAGCGACCCGACATTCTTCCAAGATCTTCGGATGAAGCGTATATCCCCCTTGCTCTGGTCGAGCTTGCGTTGCCTTCCTGAACATTAAATGTCACAAATCTCTCGACTTCGAGAAATTTGCGTGCAAGAATTAAAGATTGAAATTAGAATAAGCGATGAGCACTTTTTCATGTTGAATGCCGTTCTATCGAACGCTGTCACTCCCAATTCACAACAGCTGACCTCGCCAACTTGCCCTGGCAATCCTGTCTCCTGCTAGACCAACTCAGAGCAGGGTAAGTTCGGCGAGAGGAAGTTGATTGCCACTGACACAACTCGTCGCCACAGGATAACACGCTAAACTCAATGGGAAATCAGGCCTCAAGACCATAAATAGTAGAAGCTTCCCCCCTCGTCACGAAGGGCTCCCCACTTTAGGGGGAATGTGAGGTCTGCCCGGGAGGGCTTTCTGCCCGCCCTGACCCGATGCCAGGCGGTCCCTGGCCTGCAGCCCCACCTCCCGCTTCGACCGGGAGGGCGCTCCCGCTTTAGCTCGCCCCGCTCTCTCACTAAGGGCTCTCCCTCGCGGCCTCCCTTCCCGCAGGTAACTTGTACTATGTATTTTTTTCCTCCTCCCCTCACAAAGGGGAGGAGAAATGGAGGAGCATGTTTGGGGCTCCCCTCTTCTTCACCAAGATAAAAAAATTATCAGGAATAAAACTCTGATCCTATTTTAAGTTAATGATAACTTATCATTAAACTTGAAATATGGTTTTTCCTCTCGATGGCTGCTCATAACCTCATACGTCTATTGTCTCGAAAATGCCATGTACGATACACGGAGCATACATCATCCAAGTACCAGGATTTTCACGGGAGGGGATATGAGTTTCACGTTGATAAGTCACTAAACCCTGCACTACTCGGTCCAACAATGCCATGCCAACAACGTTTTTCGTTGTTTGCTAGATTCATCGATTTTCCGATACATCATAATGATATGAAATGTCGTATCCACTTAGACGAATATGATTATGCAGGCCTACTATGTGACTAAACACGATCACTACAATTAAGTGCCATAATATAGAACTTTCTTCACTTCTTTCCCTTGATCTTCCACGGGATGTACTTCTAGAAGAATTGAAGTTCCTCCTCGGACTGGAAAATGAATGAGAAGTGTACCGAACGTGCCGATCCTTACATACTCCGTGCGAAGCCGGCTCATATTCCTGAAGCCCAAAAAAACCAAACAGGTTAATATATGGTGCAGGGCGACCCTCGCCACTAAGGGCGAACCGGACCCCTAAACCCGGGAGCGTGGTGGCCCTCCCCGGGAGGTCGGGCTGCGGGCCCGGGCGGGCAGAAAGCCCTCCCGGGCAGAACTCGCGTTCCCCCGAAAGTGGGGAGCCCTTCGTGACGAGCCTTCCCCCCACTACCACATCCTGTCAGCATCCGAGTCTTATGCTGGGTGTACTTAAGACTCCTAGTAATCTAGGCCAAACCAGTCTTTCTCCTTCGACGACACACGAAACTCTCGAAGCTGTCCCGTTTTTCATATGTTATCCATAACGTTGTGGTCTGTGCCATGAAAAAGTATATAAATACTGTATTTATATACAATGGGTATTTAAAATACCCATTGTTTTAAGCAAGCTTACGGCGCTGTCCGTAGGGTCGCTCGCTAGCTGTAGAGCTGCATCTGCAATCACAGCATCCCGATGAATACTTTGGCCTTTTCATGCGCATCGCACATCGAACTGCCATAAATCGCCACATGACTACGCAGACCTACGCTGACGGAACCTACGATGCAGATAGCAGACAAGGAGCTTTGTGTAACGTTACGGAGTTTCTCGTTGCCATCTCTTCCTCACCGTAAATCTCCTTTGCCGAGCGGTCGTTCTCGAAAGAAGAAACAAAACTGTCAAAAGGTTCATGGCCTCGGCCTAAGTATGGACTTGGGCGTATGCTGCGCGACGGCACCCGCTTCAGGTCCAAAACTTTGCTTAGCGACTTCTCCTCGGTGATCCGGAATATGGCCATCTCCAGAATCTGCTCGGAAACGGGACGAGGGGTCACGTCCAATTGGAAGCAACTGCTATCAGAAATGAGCTTTTCACGTTCGATACACAGAGAAAATTAAGTAAGTTAGATGAAAGGCTTCTATGAAATCTTCACGCGACGCGCACAATTGCTCCAAGCGTCCAACAATGTACATAACCTTCCTACGAGTAGAAGGTTTCCTGCTGAAAGCTTCCGCAGCTTTGAGGTTTTCCGGACTCCACGAAATTTCAATCACTATATCTTCTTCCTCGATCGAACAAGACTTTGGTTGCTTCATAGTCTGGAGGTCGAACACTGGACGACGAAGTAACTTAGTGGAACTCACTGACGCCTCACCTCGCGCGGCTGCAGCGAGAATCACATCCGTTGTCTCGCGATCATCAAGCTCGAGAGCACCGTCCTTCCGCCTATGGTATCTAGAAACGAACCTAGTCAGCTCACTCGTCATTGCTACAAAAACGTGCTCTAAAGGGACGTCCCCTCCCGTCAAATCGATCGGGAAATCTGATGGTCTTGCGCTTGAACGCGCAGTCACAATCCTTCTGTTGTTCAACTCACTCAAGATCTGTGGTCAAACTTCGTGGACACTTAAGGGACTCGATCGATATGCATTGGAGAGCAAATTTTTGTTATCACTCTGATCAAGTTTCATTTATAAGGATTGAGTTGCAAGAGTGCGCACGCATTTCCGGTCACAACCTATCACATTTAGAATTTATCTGTTCTTGCAATTCTTGTGCAGCTTGTAGTGTCATCCCATATTTTTGCTACATTACTTGATGCCCAGCAGTTTAGTATTAGCATTCTAAGGCACTTGATTCTCATGTTCTACACAATATATTGAACAGCTGATATAGAACTTCCTTGCTTATAAATGACTTCAGTAGAATGTTCACTCCACTTGGAATGGGCCTCATAAATCTGTCCGTTCAGCGACTGTTCTGAAGCAATAAACATAGCATTGTCTGCTCGAGGTGCAACAACGACTATGTGGAGTAGATATTCATATCCACATCATTGCACGGAGAGCTAACATGTCGCGGAACAATTGGGCAGTTCCGCCAACTGCATTCACTCGCGTGCAGTTCTTCCAATTAGACAGCAGTGGCTAACACGAATTATGGCCCATTTAGAATGTACTAACCATGAAATTGAGGGAGCTCTAAGGTATCAAGTTTAAGTCCTTCTACGTTATGAACATAACTACTCTCTCCTATTGATAAGTGTGAAGTCTTTAACTATCATTCAAAAGTGAGCTGCTTGACTTGTTGTCACTCGCATAACAACTCTGTGCTTAACGCCCCTTCACTCAGTCATGGTTGCAAGATGGACAAGGTAATGAGTTGGAAGATGGAATACATCGACTGCCACTTTGAGCGTGACATTCATCTAATCCTTCTGAAATGTAAGGGGCTCTACTTACAGTCGTATTGTCTAAATCTAAGCAAAATCTTGGACCCATAGTCAAATTGACTAAATGTTTGTGTTAATGTATGGACATCATATCCATTTTAGAACAATCGAAAGCTCTAGAAGGGAAGTGGCATTTTGTACCCATACTCCTTAACCTGGAACATTCATATGACTAATTAGTCTAGATAATCATCTAATGCTGCATCCTCACTAAAAAGCACCGTCAAGCAATTCAAGAATATTAGATTATCATGCCATGGATCCCTTTCTTGAGTTATAAGAGTGATGAGACCAAGCTATATGCATTTAATGGATGATAAGAATATTGACAGGAAGCATGGTTCGAGAAAAGAAGACATGGAAAAAGTTTGACAATCGCATGGTGTATGTAAGGTGCACGCCATTTCATTCCTTTCGTATATCTGCAAGCAGGGTGGGATGAAGACGTCCGATAACGCCCTTTGGAAATGAAGGTGTTAGGTTTAGAGTGGGATGAGAAGGAGTTCAAAGAGAGTTTTTATATATAGTTGTAATTTTAGAAAATATCCCAAAGTTTGTAGTTTGAATGAAAGTCGATGATATGGTGAAAGCCATGTTGACTGCAGTGAAGCGCTCATGCAATGCAATGTAATATGATTTATAGTGAAGTAGATTTTACTCTATATTCAAAATTTAAATATTTTTCTTTGTATCTTCGTAGTACATTATTCTTATAAAATTGACAGTTGATTAAACATAAGAATCAAGGATCAAAATTAATTTCATAGTTTGTAATTGGAAAATTCAGCCTTTTTTTGTTTCAGGTCCAAAATAAGGAATCTATATTTCAGCTATAGTTTTTGGTCTGCCCAACATTCTTCTAAAAGTAAGGACTTCATAATTTTCAGTTTTCTTAAATTGATTCTTACTTGGATTACTTTAAAGATTGTAAACTGAATTTCAAGACGATCAAACTTATACACCAACACAATAGTCATTCTTTAATTGGGAAAAATTATGTATTGGAGAATGCAATCAAATAACTTATTGATAAGATAAAATTTGGAGTATAATATTGATCTTCAAAGTAGTACATCTTATGCAGACTAACATTATTTCACATAAGTGACAGATTCATCCATTCTTAGAGAAATTTATTTCGAATTTCCAGAACGTATTTCGAAAAAAATATCCAATAGAATCCATTTGTCCTGACTAGCAATTACAAATGATATCACCCAAACAAATTTCATACATATATGTATATATGTCTTTACCAAGAAAGTCAAAATATATGGAAACTTGGCTCAAATATGTAAGATTTTTCGAAAAAAAAATTCTTAATTTATATTTTTTATGCTAATTTTCTTCTAAACTCTGAAACAAATCTCAAGAAAGGATTGATTTGATCATATGTGATGAATAACAGAAAATCTCAAATTTGTAACAATGTTTGGTGAATTTTTTCAATACTTAATTTTCACATCTTCATATAAAAATAATGGATAATTAATTTAATATGGATAATTTTATTATTGTAAAATTATAAAATAAAAATAAAATTATTATTTTTGGGAAGTTTCTACAAAGCTATATATTTTTATGAAATCTCAAATTAATAATAATTTAGAAATTTTTCATACAGTCAGTTTACTTTATGTCATTGATGTTTGAAAAATAAATAAAGTTTTTATATTTTCAAAAATTAAAAAAGCGTACTAATAAAAAAAGAAATAAAAACATTACATCAATGTTTTTGCCAGTATTTATAATATATTTTCTCTTTATTGCTAAAAATTGATATTTTTATTGATAAACTCTAAAAGTTTAAAACAATGCGTGAAAATTGTTACATTTTTATTTTTAAAATTCAGAATTTTTATTTTAAAAATAAAATATGTCCCTATCAATCTATCGATTGACACAAAAAACAATAAATAAATTGAAATAATTTGAAATAAATCTCATTCTACATAGAATGTTAATGGTTTTAAACTTGCTTGTTTACAACAAAACAACTTTTTAGTCATCACAATATGAAAATTTATTTACTTATTTCAATTATATATCAAAATTAGATTTTCATTTTTTTATCATTTTTATAAATCTTGAATGCATTTCTCTTATTATGTTCAAATAAAAACCTGAAATGTTGACTT